CTGCTCTAGAACATGGCCACATAGCCCGAAAAAACCTACAACACAAGCAAAATAGCCTGAGGCAGCACTCTGAAGTTGGGCTGAAGCTAGGATGTGTAAGATGTGGGGTGATCCTCGATTTCTCTTGTTTACTTGCTCATGGACTAGTGCTTAGACATCCTTGTTCTGTTCCTTTCCTTCTCCAGATGAGGTGCAAGCCATTGCCAGCATCATTGAAAAGCAGGCACAGATTGTGGTGAAGCCAAAGGAGGTTTCCAAGGAAGACACACTGCAGAAGGCTGCCCTCTTGGCACAATATGCCAATGTGACTGATGAGGAAGAATATCCTTTCTATGTTGCAGGTTTTGTGATTCGTTAAATATAGATTATGTTCATCTCACTGGGGGGCCTGCAAAGGATTCCTGTTTATTTATAGACCACTCTTCTTCCCATGGACTCTGGGTTGATCTCAGTGGGCATGCTGATATTATTTTAGAGAAGCTGCCATTGCTTTAATGGTGCTCAGGTCCTACATGCAAAAGTCTTCATGGAATTGGAGCAAAGGTATGGATAGAATGAGTTCTCAAGGGAAATCAAGTCCTGAATCCTCCCCTAAATCAGAGAAAATTATTGTCCCACTTTTCTGCCAGCTAAGCATATTTTATTATTTTGAAACAGATAGTGTTTAATTATCTTGGAACAGGTATGATGACATCAGTGGTCCTTTGGAAGGCTGGTGGGCTAGGTAGGTGTTCTATATTAGGAGAGATGTGCTAATACTCAGTCACAGTACAAAGGACAGGAATGTTGTAGCCTATTAACTGGGATGGTTGGGAAAGAAAATTCCCTTTACTGATGTATTTGGGCTCGGCCTCTTGTAAGCCGCATCAAGTCCTTCGGGAGATGGTAGCGGGGTATAAATAAAGGTTTATTATTATTATTATTCAGAGGCAGTGTATATCTAATTGCCAGATTCTGGGAATAAGCAGAGGGTGAATATCTTCACCTTGTTCAATTTGATACCAAATGGAAAAAGAAGAATCAACAAGTATTTTAGAAAGCCCTGATATCCAAAATACCCAAACACCCTTAACTCAGTACACTGAATTAGATGCTCAAGATGATCCTGGAGCAGCGGCAGTGCTTGTCAGCTCTGAAAAAAGTATCCTTTTGAGACTTCTGTTTAGCAACGTGAGAAAGAGGATGTTGGGTCCTTTCAAGAGCAAAAAAGAGGGTTGGATAGAATCCTAAAAGGGGGGCTGGAAAATTTTTTTTTAAAGTTTCACTGCTTTTTGAATTGTGGAGTCCTCTTTCACACACACTGTTGTAGAAAACTTTGTTATATTTATCATTTATTTATTTACGACATTTATATGCCACCCTTCTCACCCTGAAGGGGACTCAGAGCGGCACACACACACATAGACACACACACACACAAACACACACATACATACAATATATTATTAGCATAGTACAAGATCAGTATTAAATATTACTATATTGTACTTTACCATTATATTGTAATATTATTAGTAATATTACATGTAATATAAACATATAATTATAATATGTTATTAGTATTATATTGCATTACATTATAATATTATAAATATATGTATATACAATATATTATATATGATATATTATATTACTAGAACAGCACAGGAGACAATATGGAATTTTCTTCTGCCCCCCGCCCTCTTAACTCTGCCCCAGACATATGCAAGAGACAAGATGGAACTGTCCTCTGGCCCCCTCTCTCTTGACTCTTATCCCTCCATGATAAGTTAAATTAGATGAGCAGCTATGCCTCACACAAGAAGGTATGCTGGTTGTGATCATTTATATAGCGCCTTCTGATTTGAAAACAGTGTATTTCTCCTCAGAACAATTTTAATAGGCTGAAGTAAGGGTACTCACCATTGAGCTGCTGCAGCCCTCCTCCACAGCCACTGCATTGTGGGTGGAGAGCAGGGGGGTCAGAATAGTGCTTGTGTTCCTGTACCTAATTAAGAATGATTAAGTGATTGACTGGGATCCTCCAGTGATTTTAATGGAAAAATGTCAACATGTCAAATATTATAATGTAATGCAAAATAATATTAATAATAATATGATATTATAATTATATATTTATATTACATGTAATGTTACTAATAATATTATGATACAGTGGTATGGTGTAATACCACAATGTTTAATGCTGATATTGTACTATGCTATTTATTTAGCGTGTCAGGAGCAACCAGACATTTGTATTACATTTTTAACAAACAGACAAAACACAAAGTTTGCAAGCTTGGTAGTTGATTAAATGTCCTTTGACTAGTATCTGGCCACTTGGAGTGCCTCTGGTGTTGCCACAAGGAGGTCCTCCATGGTGCATGTGGCAGGGCTCAGGTTGCATTGCAGCAGGTGGTCGGTGATTTGCTCTTCTCCACACTCGCATGTCGTAGATTCCACTTTGTAGCCCCATTGCTTAAGATTGGCTCTGCATCTCGTGGTGCCAGAGCGCAGTCTGTTCAGCGCCTTCCTATGCTAATAATATAATATATTGTATGTAATATATACCTTGTAAGCCACTCTGAGTCCCCTTTGGGGTGAGAAGGGCAGCATATAAATGTCGTAAATAAATAAATAAATAAACAATCTGTATCTAGCTATGGGGACATAACTAGAATCTTCTTCAATAATCTTGCTCTCCACCTGCCATGGAACATTTATTTATTTATTTAAAAGTTTTCTATATCGAAAAGTTATCGAAAAGTTTTCGATCTTCTCACCTACAAGAGGGACTCAGATCTGGTTCACAACATGTGCTCATATACAAAAATACAAACCACACAATGCATCATCATTACACAATTAAAAACATATTACAATACAATATCGTCATCATCACATTCACATAGCCACGTCGTCAAAACATTCCTGGTCATAATTCACAGTTATTCATTCTCCTTCCATGTGGACCAAAGTTGACTCAGTTATC